AATGTATTATTCACAAAATGAAAAGGGCAGATGCATTTTCCTGTCACACAAAGAAGATTGTTTCCCCATAAGCTACTGTAAGTATTAAATGTGCCGCAACTGCAGCCTCTCCAGACAATAGTTTATCAGAGGACAAACAGTGTTGTCAGCATAGTGTGCTGCTATCCAAACTCGATTGATCCTGTGGATATATTATTATTTATCAAGTCAACAGGTGAACGTTTTGACATGATGACACACGCACACACACTCACACTCGCACTCACACTAACAAGGCACTGCCACAGCTGGTAATACAGCAGGGGGAAATTAGAAATAAAGACCTGGGTTCTGTCCCGAATCATTTCAGTATTTATGGAGTTCTATGTGAGACTGTAATTAAAAAGACAAAAAAAATCATGCTGCTCTATCTTGTCAGCAATTTTTCTTTCATTCAGAGTGAGTTGTATCACAGCTCTGGTTTATTTGATTCTCTGGGCAGCTGTCACTATTTGTAGATGTATGTTATGTCTCACTTTCCTCTTCTTGCTCCTTCCCTCGGCTTGCAGGGTCCTGGTACACTGCTCCACACACTGAGAGAAGCTCAGACTGCTGTGGTCTGAACTGTAGTCCTGCTCAGCCAACTGAGCAAGGGACAGGATGTAGTTGCAGGCGATACGTAATATAGCCAGCTTGGAGAGCTTCTGCCCATAGGAGTAACATGGCACCTGGATAGAGAACAAAAGGAGGGAGATGAGGAAGGTCTTTACATGTGTCATTTGCATACTCTCAATTAAATGGAATGGAAGCAAGGCGAATGGTCTACAACCACCTCCCCCACAGTCTGAATTTCCTCTGTCATTGATTAAACCTCAAAACTAATCTAAACATTTTTTGGCATGGTTGTAAATATACTTTCTTCTCATTTAGTATTCTTGGATGAGTACAGTATGAGCAAAAAGGCCCACCTCTATCTCACCCAGCTGCTCACATGCAGCTCACCACAGCACACATGTATTGTGCAGTGCAGTGGAAGTAGAATCAACTGCAGGGCCTAATTTAAAAATGACTGCTTGTCACCTTAAGATCATTTCTTCCTCATTATCATGGACTATGATTACAACAAGATTGCTTAGATATAAAAAATGTCTACTTAGATATTCTACCATTACTGGCATTAATTCTTCAATAACAATTGTCATTGCTGCTCCATTCATTTCTATCAGACATTTTCTTATGTATAAATACTTCAAACACTGACACACCTTTACATTAGGTTTAAAACAATTTCTTCTATCAATGTTTTAAATATTGAAATTTTGTTGAAATGTTCAGCTACATGCAGCATCTATTGCACCTCTGTCTGTCCGGGGTACATCTTGTTGAGGGCTAAGGACAGAGGATGTCGCACCTTGTTAAGCCCTATGAGACAAATTGTTATTTGTGAATATGGGCTAAAAAAATTAAAATTTGATTGATAGATTAACCACTTATCTTTCAGACTCTATTCCTAGTAGAGGAAAAACAAAGTTTTGCCTATAATCAACACTTCCATATTAAGGTTTCAGTAAATATACCTCTGCTCAAAACTTCCCCCACACATTACCAACACTAACTGACACACATATGTAATGTACTGTAAATATACTGTACTTATATAATACTTTTTCAGTCTTATTGACCACTCAAAGTGCTTCACAGTACAAGGCACATTGACCCATTCACAAACATTTTCATACAGTGTTACAAAAGGCTGCAATCACACACTGCCAGCACAGCTATGCAATGTTGTTTTTTCTTATCTTGCCCATGGACACTTTGTAATGCAGACTGGAGGGGACAGAGAGCAGACCATTGACTGATTAGTTCTGATTAGTGGACGACCCGCTCTACCTTCTACCTCCACAACCGCCACATGTATGTGTTTTTTCATGTTTCATATGACATGAGAGCGTAGAAATGGTTCTGTATTACTTCTGACACAATGAATAATGGGCAAAAAAGAGAGACTAGTCAGTTTAAGTTAGTTGCCATGCAGTCTATAGATTGATTTTTAGATTTAGAAAATGATTATCTAGTTTATCCTGAATCCTGTCAGAATGCAGGTAGGATTTCTACTGGTGCTGCAGATGCTCAGTCTGACTGTGACTGACTTAGAGTGTTTGTGTGGGAGAGAGAGGATAGCATGAGTAAAGAGTACTGTCATCCTGTTCTTAAGCCACTTGATTTCAACTTTTAAATTAAAATTGTGGATCCCATGCTGTAGTTAGCAGCACTAAGGATGTTCACCTGCAAACACAAATTCTCTATCTGCACATAAGGGGTGGGGGTTGACTGAGAGGAGAAGTCAGAATTGGCAGAATAGTTAGAGGTTTTTTTGGTTATTTTGGTTTAAAAGGGATGGCATTCCCCCTTATCCCACACCAATTCGCCTACTGCCTATTCCAATCTCCCCTTTCTTTCTAAACTCTTTGAAAAAGCTGTAGCAAACCAAAACACAGGCTCTCTTGTGGTTCCAAGAGTCTGTAAGAGTAGAACAGGAGGTAGAGCATTCAGCTACCAGGCTCCTCTCCTGTGGAACCAGCTCCCACTCTGGGTTCAGGAGGCAGACACCATCTCTGCATTTAAAGTTAAACTTAAAACGTTCCTTTTTGATAAAGCCTATAGTTAGTTCTGGATCAGGTGAGTCCTGAACCATCCCTTAGTTATGCTGCTATAGGTCTAGACTGCTGGGGGGAACTCCCATCATGCACTGAGCACTTCTCCACTTCTTCACACTGTTATTGTTTTCATTAGAACTAGTCAGATCTGATACCCGATGGTGCATTGGTACATTGAGTCTGGTTCTAGAGGTTTCTCTCTGTTAATGAGGAAGTTTTTCCTTCACAGTCGCCAAAGTGCTGCTCATTGTGGGAACTGTTGAGTTTTTCTTCATTAATATGATTTTAAGGTCTTGACCTTCTATGTAAAGTGCCTAGAGATAATGTATATTATGATTTGGCACTATACAAATAAAATTGAATTGAATTGAATTATGACACACACATTTTAAGATTATGTCTGTTAACCCCTCACACTACAGAATCATTTGGTAAGATTATGTGTTCAGATCAGCCCCCACAAATGTCAGGAGGGCTAAATCGGACACCCCAATTTGGCCCAAACATTCTCTAGTGTGGGGCCAGTCTAAATCACTAGTACACACCACTTGGACCAAATCTGTACAAATGGTTCTTGCATGAGACGCAATGATTCTTCAATGCACACGCAACTATTATGTTATTATTATATTGTTGTTTTGGTTCATCAATAAGTATCACCATTAATAAATAAATGGTAAATGGTTGTATTTATTTTCTAGTCTTGAAGACCACTCAAAGCGCTTTACACTACAGTTTTCCATTCACCCATTCACACACACATTCATACATAGAGTGCTTATATAGCTAGCACTTTTTGTTGTTCTATTGGGCAGTTTGGGGTTCAGTATCTGGCCCAAGGACACTTTGGCATGCAGATGGGAAGACTGGGGATCGAACTTCCGACCCACAGCCACCCAATAACAATACAAAAACATCCCCTACCCCTATAATCCTATCTAATCAAGTAAATTAAATATCTGACAAATCAAGTTTCTTCCCCACATTAATTCAAACAGCCCTGTTCATTGATCAACAACATTGTCTACAGTGGTCTTATACATCCAGGTGACAGCATCACAGGGGAAACATCAGGATTTGAATAAAAGTTGTTTCTATGATGAAGATAGGTGGACTGAGAGTATTAGACTGGTAATACAAGTGAAGCAGACATCTTCTTGTTTTATTTCCTGCTCTGCAGCATCTATAAGTATGGTCACAGAAAACACCTTGAATGTGATTCTGTGTAGTGTTTATGTGTATAGTAGTTACAATATGGTTTGGAGCTTGTACACACTTTGTTGTTTGAGTGCTTGCAGTGTGGACTATGAGTCTGACCTGCTTCCTCAAGGCTTCGAATGCAGCGCTGATGGTATGGACACGGGTCCGTTCCCTGGCGTTCGCTAGAAGCCTCCTGGTCTGCTGGATGGCTTTAACCTCTGGAAGACACCCAGGTTCATCAGCACTCATCTCAGTCCTCTTTCTGGGAAACTCCTAGGAGAGAAAAAGACCTGAGTTAACAAGTATTGTTGATGTTTTGTATATCCTCACACATTACTGTATATATTATGTATATAATGTATATTACATTATATATATCTGTACACCAGTAACAGATCCTCCCTTCTCTCTCTAAGCAGTACCCAAGGTCAGGTTATAAATAAAGGACCAACCAACAGTACATTGTAGTGTCTATGCTTAGAGACTTTCATATCTGACTCAGATGCCCCAGACCGAGAGGCACCAACTTCAACTCTCACTAACTTCAACTGTTTTGCGTATTTCCCCAGTGGCATGGTAAATGGTTTGTATTTATATAATGCTGGTCTTGATGACCACTCAAAGTACTTTACACTAGAGTTTGCCATTCACCCATTCACACTCATCCATACAGTGCATCTATTCGCAGCACTTGTTCTATGGGGTTCAGCATTTGCCCAAGGACACTTTGGCATGCAGATGGGAAGACTGGGGATTGAGCTGCTGACCTTCTGGTTGGAGGATGACTGCTCTACCCCTCAGCCACAGCCGCCCAAGTGGCAAGACATAATGACACAATGTGGTTTAGGAATGCATATTTAAACTTAACTATCCAATAGGATGTGAACACCTACATGTAACATAGAGAGTGACAGCAATTCTAGCCATTCATGGATGTGCTGTTAGAATGGGTGACACAAGTAGAGTAAGATATATGTGGATGCTGTGGGAGAACTCTTTAGACTTGAGGGTGACAATGTCTCATGTAACTCTGTTAGTGTTTGTGTATTGTTGCACCTTCTGGTCTCCTTGATGCATCAAGTCTACATTCAAATCTTCTGCATAAGACATCAGCTGCTGCCTGAGTTCTCCTTTCACCAGCTTCCAGAAAACTTCCATAACAGTTGTGATAACATACTACACTCCATTAATATAATTTAACCAAACCCTCACCAATCCGATTTTGTCACTTGAACCGTACCACGGTAAATGATAAGGAAAAATATATTTTATTAATATATAATTTATTTGTTACATAATATAGCTGTTAAGAGCAAGAACCAGGAAATAAGGAGGGCCCACTGTTCAGTCAGACTACCTTCAGCTCACTGGAATGAGGATTATATACACAAATAAAGACATTTGATTGGTTTTCAATTATACTGGCTGGTAGATGATGTTTTCAACCAAAATCTGCCAAAATTCATATTCACTGTTGCCTGAACTGATAAGCAGAATTACATAGCAGATAACTCAGTACGGTAACTGACTTGTTGAAATTATTTATTTGGTAATTATTTTTCATACCACTCCACATATTCACCTTAGGTGACTCCACCTGGGGCTCCACATGTTCTTGACACATTGAGGTCTGGAAGATCCTGGGACCAGGCAGAGCTGAAGCCTGGCCTGACAGAGAGGGCTCCGGGGGGGAGGCCCGGTGACTGGGTGAATGGCTGTGGCTGCAGCTAGTTGACATTGACAGAGGGAAAGTAGAGCAAAGGCCCAGTTTAAGTCTGTTGGACAGAGGCTGTGAGATGACTGTGGGCCAGCGGGAGATCTCTGGGTTAGAGAATGGAGGGGAAGGTAACTGGGAGAGTTTAGAGGTGATGTCTGGCAAGTTAATACCAATTCTCATATCTATAGCACCACTCTGAGCTGAAACCATGTTGCCCCCTGGAAGTCCTGACAGAATTTCTGTAGTACTAGCTGTTGCCTCCTGAGATATCATCAGCTGTCTCTGCAATGGAGCCAACGTGCCGACATTACATGCCTCCGTTTGGGTGTCATCTACTGAGTCCTCATCTGACATGTCCCCTTGGTAGGTTTTCCTCCTCTCAGGCTCAGGGCTGCTGAAAAGTCTTTTGGGCTCCCTAGACTTCCTCTTGAACTTCTTGTTCGTGCAAGACATAGACATCAGTACTGGATCTTTGTTAGGGGATTGCTTCCATGTATTACTCAGCTGATGGGGATTCTTCATTGTTCAACAATTACTGTAACTAACCAGCTAAACTGAAATTAACTACAACAACTTACCTACTTTTAGCTGCAAAATGTAAGTGAAGCTGAACTACTTTTATCAACTTCAGTCAAACAAAATCTTTCAATTCCACAAAGTTTTACTCACCATATAACAGTGTGTCATCTTTGTGAAAGTTTACCTGTCGGAGGAATTACTAAAAGCATTACAATCAAAGACCTTTGTGTTTTAGACACAATGTTTTGTTTATCTCAAATGTTCCAGATTATAAAGTATACTCTCCTTATCAGTATAGGGTTGTTAAGTCATTCTCTATCTACACCCTGCAAACATCCAACCTTCTAGCCAGACCTTCAGCTGCCAACAGTGTAATATTAGCTGTTCAACTGCACTGAGAGAGGCGGCAGAGTCGAGTACTACTTTAACATTACCAACAGGTTTCCTGTGGCTCCACTCTGTCTGCATAGCAGCATCCTGAATAATCCACATTAATACACAAAGCTGTGTAACATCTGCTCTTCTGTACAAGTTGTCCCACTGGATTTTTGACTCACTTTTCCTCCACTGTTTTTTTCTGTGGAAGCAATCCAGGCCTGTGCCTCAGAATCAGGGTTACAGTGGGGCTGTCTGAGCATGGCTCCAGTCAGTCTGCATAGCAGCACTGTGAATAACCCACACTGATACTCACACTCAGTACAGACAGTCAGCAGTGGAACTGCAGCTGCTGGACAAAATAATAGGAACAGCACGTGAACAGGATGGCTGAACTATTCAAGAGCTAAAGTACAAGTCAAAACGATGTCCCACTGAGCATTTATGATATACAGACCATCACTGTTTTCCAGCAGTTTTCAAGGCAAGCAAATAGTTGCAACATATTCCAAACAGACAGGAAAACAATAACACTGAGTTTCTAAACTCCAGCAAACTCAGTGAAAATAAGTCCCAGCAGCAGCAGCAGCAGCAGCAGCAGCAGCTCAGGCTTCGGTGACACTGTCCCCTATTCGCTGCTTCGGTACCGGCTCATCCCTCAGTGAAGCCCGGGGACCCGTCTTGAAAACGGGGCCATGACTCGGTGTGTTGACTCCGTACTCGCTGGCTTCAATGTGCTACAGGTTATTCAAACGGGAATAATAATCCATTAGTCCACCAGCTGTAGAGCTGACACCGTTAAACACCCCCCGACACGTTCATCCGCCTCTGCTCGTATAGAAATGTCCACGGTGCAGGCGCAGGAGCGATCAGCACAGCGGAGAGAGAGAGAGAGAGTGAGAGAGAGAGAGAGAGAGACACTGAGAGAGAGAGAGACAGTGAGAGACAGTGAGAGAGAGAGAGAGAGACACTGAGAGAGAGAGAGACAGTGAGAGAGAGAGAGAGAGAGAGAGAGAGACACTGAGAGAGAGAGAGACAGTGAGAGAGAGAGAGAGAGAGAGAGAGAGGGCGAGAGATAGAGAGAGCGGGCGAGAGAGAGAGAAAGAGATGCTCCTTCTCTGTAAGTTACAACAACGACTGAGTAGCGCCACCGAGTGGAGTATAACAGGGACTGCTGCTGCTCCTGTTAAAGGTTAGCTCAAACTTAGCAGTTCCCCTGTTTGCCTCTATTTCAGCTCACAGCTAAATAGTCCACATCCAAACTGAGGGAGTTTATTCTCTCCAGTCGCCAAAGCGCTTGCTCATTGTGGTGTCCTGACCTTCAATATAAAGTGCGTTGAGATAATGTATATTATTATTTGGCACTATACAAAACTGAATTGAATCCAACATTCACTGATACAACAAAAGCCTTGATCCACATCTGAGGACCAGAGTATCACAACAAGAAAACTTTGTTTCTCAGTTCACACACACACAAAACAGATGGCTTCACAGCTTGGATCATTAATGTCTATAAAGATTATAGACAATGATATAATCTAACTCTAGATATCACACAATTCTACACACTGTACCTTTAATTAAGGTTCAGTGTGTAGAATTTAGTGATATCAAGAGGTGAATTTTCATGTTGCAGCTGAATACTCCTCTCCTCACCCTCCACTTCCCAACGTGAAAGAGAACCTGTGGTGAACTTCAAACTTCAAAACTCAAAAGGTTTTAGTTTGTCCAGTTTGGAAGACAGAAAAAAAAACATGATAGCCTCCACAAAGAGGACCCCCTCCATGTAAATGTAAAGTTTTTAAATATAAAGAGCCCATTCTATGGTAGAGAAAACGTCAATTCATACAATTAAGATGAAACACACCAGTGGAAACATAATTAGCATTATTTTATATTCAATTTCTGCCAAAAAAAACCTTTCACCTAAATCTTAAACACTGGACCTTTGAGGGAAGTATGACTGTTTTACAGTTTGATGGTGGAAATCCAGTAACACAACCCAATTCAATGTGGGACTAAGGGTGACTTCGAACAGGCAGTAGGCGGAGCAGCTGGGTTTGTTGAAACTTTTTTTGAGCACACACAGTTCAAGCCGAGATAAATGGCCGTGTGTCTGTGTCCATGGTGGACCACCAAAACCTTTGTCGGAGGAAGGACAGGTTATGAGGCAAGAGGAGAGGGCCCACTACAGCACCCGAGAGTGAACTGAGGACAAACAATTGGTTATTGGGATCATTACCTGGGTCTTGTTGATGCTGAGTTTTTTTTTCTTCCAATCTCCCAGGTGAAGGAGGCAACGGAATAGATTAGTGACAGGGTGGATTCAATTCAATTCACTTCAATTCAATTTTATTCGTATAGCGCCAAATCACATATACATTATCTCAAGGCACTTTATATAGAAGGTCATGACCTTGAACATTTTAAACCCATCAGTTCCTACAATCAGAAAGAACATTGGCCCTCATTAACTGGAAGAGAGAGATAGAGGGTAGGGGGTGGAGAGGGGGAGAGAGAGTAGAGAGAGTAGAGAGAGACAAGAAACAGGTGTCAGCTCTGACTAGTTGTTATAATGAAAACAATAAGAGTGATAATTATGATATGTAAAGATGTTATTAATGGTAGCAGCAACAATTCATGTAATAATAACAACAACAACAATAATAAAAACAATAATAATAATAACAATAATATTACATTGACATCTCAGGGGGCTTGAGCCCCTACCCTTTTTCTTCCTGAGAGAAAGTGCTTTTTCTGGGGTACTGTTTTTTATATCTTTTTTTTAATACATGAATATTATATTCCTGTTTGTGTACAGCTTCCTTGACAAACAAATATATAGATTGAATCCAAAATCTAAATATCAGGTCGGGAGATTAGACTGTCTCTAGCCTCCCTCCCTCTACATCTCCTGCACAGTGGTGAGCACTAGAGCTGTGGATATTTCTTGATTCCTAGATGCATCGTGACGTGGACGACTCTGCATCCATGAGACAGAGACAGAACATAATCGATTCATGTTGTTTTTAGTGATGTCCTGCTGCTGAATAATTATAACCAGTGCTGCTTGAGGATCAGGACAGACGCACATTAAAGGTCCAGTCGTCCTGTGTCAGAGTCTCTGGCAGAGTCCGTTTCCTCTTCACTCTCTGACCTGCGTTCACTTTACACTTTTACAAAAAACGCCAGCACTGATCACAAGTTATTAGACATGTACAGGACTGACGTTTACTTTGTGTTTGTTTGATTCACTCTAGAGTTTATGAGACAAAATGTTACAATTTATTATGAGGTTCGTTTATTTATTTATTCTTGGGTTAAAGGTCCAGTGTGTAAGATTTAAGTGAAAGAATCTATTGGCAGATATTTAAAGAATAATCCTCATGATGTTTTCACTAGTTCATTTCATCTAAATTGTATGAATTGTAGTTTTCTTGACCCCAGAAAAGACCCTTTATATTTAAATACTTTATATTTACATCAAGGGGACCCTCTCTACGGAGGCCTCCATGTTTTTTACATTAGTCCAGACTGGACAATCTAAACACCTTTTGAGTTTTTATGACAATTAAAGGCTTCCACAGGTTATTTTTCACTTATGGAAGGAGAGGGTGAGGTGAGGGGTGTTCAGCTGCAACATGCAATTTCAGAAACCAAAAGAGGAAGATTGAGAAAGAGACACCATGGAGCACGACGGCAGCAGATGGTATCGGATGCAACCTACCTCCATCCAAGACAATATGCAAGGGGACACATCCCCATTACTAACAAACTACAACGATACGGCAGCGTCTGAGCTCAGAGCCTGAGCATGCCTAGCAGATCATGTCGTGGTTCACGAGCCCGCGAATAGAAGATGTCAGGAAGTTCAACTGAAAAGGCGCGAGTACTCCATGACCTCCTACACATAGTAAGTGAAGCATACAATACAAGTTCACTCCATATATCGCAGGCATATCATTAAATGTTACAGGTTGAATGTGAAGGAGCTAGCTTTGGGTATAATATTTAACAACTTAACTGTTCGCCTCGTAACACACACATTTAAACCTGCTATACAACACGAGACGTGACGCGCACAGTCAGGACATAAGGGTTAAGATGCAACGCAATGTTTTAACTTCACTGCTGCAGAAGAAGAGACGCCCTGTTTATCCAGGAACATTAATATGAATGCAGCAGGTTTTATAAAGATCAGTTCTAAATGTGATGATTAGAAAACATCAGAGGATCAGAGTAATGCGCTTCAGTACGAGGCCACCTTGATACAGTAAAGGCTATAATCAGAATTTGTCCTTGTGCAGCACAAGTCTAAACTAAATGAATGGGAAATCAGTGTGGAGAGCACTGACCAAGTTAACAGACTTACTGTTGTACTCTGATTTATGAACTGAAAACCTTATGTTGTAAATAACAGTAACAGTCTATAGTACTTTTTAAAGCACCTTCTAAATAAAAAGGGAGTTCATATTTGTCTGGCATGAATGTTCATACGCAGCACAAAAAAAAAAAGCATGTTTGCATGCTTGTATGTTCTCATAAAGTAGACAGGAATTCATACATGTTCATTTCATCATGTCCGCTGGCACGCACCTGACCAAGAAATTGCATCTTACTGATTAGCGCAGTGTCTTAGCCAAGACTCTCTAATTAAATTCTTCATCACAGTGAATACTCTTTCTCCAACAGATGATCCTGAAGAGATACCAAAAAATGTCCTGCATTTTTCCTGAATGTCCATACATTTCTTTTTCTTTTAAACATCTATTACTGTTTACTTAGTCTCTGAATATGATGTCTAAGGTTTATGGGAGCCCCTACCACCACCTTTAAGGTCTAAATGGTGTTTCCAAGAGATTCAGCCTTGAGTATTGAATCATTTATCTTTTTCTATGACATACATTAAATTAATTGCGTCTAAAAACAAATACCATGTAACATCTACCATTTATTTGTAACAAACATTTAATAAACCTTCTAACACTGCTCAAATCTCCAACTCTTCAAACAAAATTGTGAGGGCAGATCTCCTCGGTGGAAGCATCGGTTTGCTCCTCTGTGCTGTGATGTATCTGTCGAACCTTCTATTCTTTAGAGACCAGAAGGATGACACCACAAAGTTCTGAAACACTTTTATTTTGAGTGAGTGTTACGGCTCTATGTATCATGTTTCTTATCTTGCCCTTCACACACAGCAAGAGGACAGGAATGAGCTGAAAGTTTACACTTACGCACCTTCAAATTGATAAATTACATTTTTGGACATTTTAGATCTGGGTTTTTGGAAACTGCAGGGTAAGTCTGCTAGGAGCCAAACAGTTAGTGCTCAAAAAATAATGAGGAGGTCATTAGCATAGCATAGGGGAGCTTCTAAGTTAAAATGTAAAATAAAACTCAGGCAATACAATACAGAGGTTATGGTTCCATAGTTTGCTGGACTACTTTCCAAAGGTAGCAGAAGCAGGAGTACCCAGTCATATTCAAATATCAGCAAGTTATACAGCAACACAAAGCTTAAAAATATGGTACTAAAGTAAGGAACTACAAAACCATCCAAATATGAGTGAAGGGTGAACTTTTAACCCACAATATTCGCTTTGCATATGTGTGACCAGGCTCTAATGCTCTTTGTTTACTGCAAGAAGCTGACAAGACAATGGGCTTCCAGTGATTGCATAAGGCAGCAAGAGCCTGACTGTGCCCCTTATGTCAGTCAGCATGAAGATTTGTGAAGTAAAAAAAAGTAAAAGCATGAATGCACAGTGACTGAAGAGGGTTTCTTTCCCTCAATCCTCTTTGTCCCCCAGTAAAATGTTCTGTTGCTAATGACATAACAAATTACATCATCAACATGTCTATTCAATGTAAAGGGAAGAGTCAAAAAATAACAGCCACCATGACATGCACCTTGTGATGAATCCAGGTCCAGGGTTTACTCTCTTTTAGCTCTGTGTTTGGTCTCAAATAACTTGTGTCTGTCATTTGTAGCAGGGAATGAGGCTGGTGTGAGCCTAAACGATGCTATTAAGGGGGCTGAGGGGAACTGCTGACTTGGTGATCATTCTGTGTGGGTTTGTCACTATGAGTAATAAGCTGCAACTTGATGGAAGCAGATAGGTGGGTATGTCAGCACCATTATACACACATCTACCAGTGTGAGCACCCTGGTTTAAGCCTGTAACTCTGTGGTTAGATTTACATTAACTAATTGGTTAGAATCAGAGGGGTTACTGTGAAAACTGCAGAAAGTCAGTCAGTACGAAATGACTGTGACTCATGAGAGCATCATTTCACAACAAGAATCATAAAAAACTGATTAGCTTTGCTTCTCAGTGATGAATCACAGCTCAAATGCTGCATTTTAAGAGATACAAACTATGAAATGTGATAAGGCATAGTTAAAGTAGAGAGTAATTACAGTGGTAGGGCAGGGAACCTGTTAAGATAGAGTTGTTGAGGGGACAAGGCAGTACTTTGAGAAAACGGGGAGGAGTTTGTCTTTTTTTTACCAATATTATTGACACAGAGCCTTTTTGCAAATCTAGCAAGTCATGATGTAGGATAGAGAAGACAGTGATAAGGCAGTTTGCTTGATAAGTAGTTTTATGCCTGTAGTCAATCTGATGGTTTCTATGTAGAACAGACTCTGTACTGTCCTCACAGCCCTGAAAACAGAATAGGAATTCTGTGATTAGAGGCTGAGACACCACAGGTCACTGAATAAATGATAGTTTGAACAACAGAGCTGACGATCAGTCACGTCCTTATCAGCCTGTTGTCCTTTACACGTTAATAATCCTGAATCTTATCCTGGATTTATCTGCCCTCGTATTATAATGGATCAAGACAACAGCACGATCACTTTACAGAGAAAGTTACGAAGGTACTTTTTCACTTCTGTCTTTTATCACCTTTACTTTTTATTTCTCATAAACGTCTCTAGACGACACACAGAGATTGTGAAGTGAATCGGATTTATTCTGACAAACAAAAACAACACCGACAAACTAACCTAACGAAGGGACCAACAAACAAAACCACAAAAAAAATAACAAACCAACAACAAACCAACCAACCGGCCAACAACACCACAAAACTACAAACAAATAAATCGACCTACAAAAAACTAACCAACGAATAAACCAACCAACACAACCACTAACCAAGCAATAGAATGAAAATCTAAAAACCAACTCCAAAAAAACTCAATGAGAAAGTCCTCATCAGCTGTGAACAAGCACTTTGCACCAGTTTGTGTTGATTGGTCGGAGTCAGACAGTTTTTATGGTTCAGCCAAAGATCGGGTTCATAAAGCAGCAGGTGAACAGACTCAGTGGGGGAGCAACTGTGAGGGTGAGTGCTGCTCAGTCGATCTCTGATGATCACAGTCGATCTCTGATGATCACTTTGATTTGATTAGTTATCGTGATGTTATTTGTACAATTTGATNTTGCACTGAACAGTTTACAAAGACTAAACCTGTGATTAGTGTGTGAATCACGATACTCTCTATACAGAGAATGTTATGACTAAGCTTTCATAGCATCCATAGGTTTTCATCTGTCTGCCGTGAAGGCCAGCACATTACCTTCAAAAACAGGAATGGAAACAAGATGATTGATGGTTCATGACAACAAGAGCCCTCATCACTTCCATTCACACTGCCCCCATGCCTCAACTTCAATCCAAGCAAGCTGTGATGTTGACAAGCTACCTGTAAGCAGTGGGAGTACAGAGGGGCCATGGAGATGAGCAGGGCTCAATGACACCTGACCATCAGTCCTGCAGAGTGTTTTCAGCAGAGCTGCCCTGTGCACCTCTCTGCAGCTTCTTCTTGAAGCTGGGCCAGCGACACACTGGGCAGCAGTGTCGGCCTGTTGCCAGCCACACAACAATGCACTGCTGGTGGAAGGCGTGGCCACATGGAAGACCCATCAGCAGCTCCTCGCTCACAAAGTTCTCAAGACACACCACGCACTCTGAGCAATGCAGCATATCAGAGGGCCACCCTGGCCACTCACAGAGATGCTGGTTAGAGACAGCCTGAGGTGTGAGGTGATCATCCTCTGTTGCCCTGTCGCACACACATTGATGTTTGCCGCTAGGGTCCATGTTGCTGTACACACATAGCTGGTTGCTGCTGTCCTGACAGCACAGTGGCCTCCTGTACCTTGTGGTCTCATGTGGAGGTGTGCTGGGACCTGCAGGAGGAGAATCCTCTGTGTCTGCAAGTAAACTTTCTGTCTCTTCATGCTGCTGTTCACCAGAGCCACCCTCCCGGCACTGACTCACTGCACTGAACCTCCATGTTGGCAGGGCTTCAATGTAGTCCACATTCATTAATGGGTGAAGCCAGAGATCAGGGAAAGACAAATGCCCAAACAAGAAGTTTGGATCATCTTCCCAGTCTGAGTGGTCTGATGGGACCTGCTGCAGCGATGTTATCGGGCGGAGCAGAAAAGAAGTATACCATTCCCACAGGCTGGCCAGCCACTCCAGGTTCGTGGTGCTGTCCTCTCGGCTCCTGAGATCACAGCGGCGTTTCTTCTCAAAGTAGTCGACCAGTAGGCCATGAGCCAGGTAGGTGGACAGGAAGAGGGCTGGGTGGGATGAGTAAAAGGTCCAGTCAGCTCTCACCAAGCTGGCCAGTGTGGTGGTGTCAGCATAACGAAGCAGCTTCAAACTGTAACCATACAGAGTGTCCAGATATGGCAACTGGAGCAGAGCCTGGACAGAGAGATCAATCAGTGATTAGTGATCAAATATAATCAATGCAACTCTTTTCTTGTTCAAGATCAGCGGCTTGTCAGAACCTAATCGACGGTCAACACTCTATGTCACTGAGATCTTATTTCTTCCATATTCTCATGTCTGCAGGCTTTAATGCACGCAGTTGACACTGTGTTCCTGTACCTCAGAAGAATGGGCTGGCTGGACATTAACTTGGCAATTTTAACACAAATGCACTCTTTATTTTGTGTTATTATTACACATGCATTAATGTAAAAGTAGGATTTTTTTGTTTTCTAAATATGTTTTGTATGCAAAAAACTTGTAAAGTAACTAGCAACTATAGCTAGATCAAAAATAATAGTGATGTAAAAAGTACAATATTTGTCTGTGAGAGTGAGAGTATCATGAAATTGGTACACTCAAGTAATGTAGCCCTTCAATTTTGAATAAAGTAGAGTAGATGTACTTAGTTACATTTCATCATTGTTTACCCCACACCAGTACAAATAAACAACAGCAATAACAATATTAATAATAAAATGCTAATTTATTGGACTATATAATTAGATTTCAGTTTAAATAGTCTTCTATATGGGTGACTGAAGTTTATCCAGTTTTTTAATAACAGTATGAGAGCTGCCTGAAAATTATAGTTTACCAACCTTATTTTTTTTTACCACTACAGCCCTGCTCAGGGACTAAATATCACTGTTCATCAGAGACGCTTGAAGACTTAAGCAGTTGAACTGAACTGCTCTGGTTTTACCCTATAATACTATTAATGCTACTTATACTGTTAAAGGCTTGGACAACACATTTTTGCCACTTCAAACATTCAAAAATTGCTTAAAATGACTAAAAGGTTGTCTTTCAGATAAAATAAATTTAGTCAGCTAACGGTGCTATTCTAGCACAGTGATGGTTTTACATTCATGTGTTGAAGTGAGGGTCTGACAAAAGAACTTTCTCAGCTGGCATGTAGCACTACATTTATTAGTAGTTATTTGGCTTGAACATGCAAAGCTACTGGTGTAATCCTTAAACACAGATGCAACCGCAGTATAAATATGAACTATTTATTTTGCATTTATGTTAGCTAGCTTCATTATTTTCCTAAATTGCAATTGCTGATGCACTGCAGCATATTTAGGTGTGTTATCTCTACCTGTGGTATAATATGAAATTGTAGGCCAGTGTCTGTGTGAACTGCATGAAAAAAACAAATTGGGTTCAGGGTTTGCTAAATAACCCTTCTTTAAAAGTCTCCTCACACCAGAAAACCATTCATGCCACTGAAAGGAAAGAAGTCAGTGTCACAACTTTGTAGTGTAGATGATTCTTACCAGAACAGGAAGCCAGGACACCAGAAGAATGGAGTTGTAGGTTCCAAGTGTTCGGATCAGAACTACAAATCGTTTTACTGTTGCTCCCTGTCGATGACAATGAAATACATGCTAATTAAAAGAATTGGACAGTTACTGCAGAACCAACTGTATGTCTCTATTCTCTCTCTAAAATCTCTATATCTGCAAAGATAAACTTCAGTCTGCTTTGTACAGTGACCCACCCTTGCTCTTGTGTTCAGCAGACACATCTTCATTTTATATTGGATAACAGATGGACCTTCTGATTGCATCTCACCAACAGTAATACAAAACGTCCAGTTGCTGTACCAACTAAGGACTGATCATGTTGCATCTGAGCTTGGCATACTGCATGTGGGTGTTGAATAGCACATGTGCTGGGTTTTATTTGCTTTTACATGTTGGTCATCTAACTTTTCATGTGTTTTGGAGGGAGGCAGAAAAAGAAGTGATTGAAATTTGGTTCCCCAAGACCATCAACAAGGAGCCTTGTGAAGTAAGGGTGGACGCAGACAATGATCACAATGTTTCAGTTCAGGCTGGGTCCCCCCTGATAGAAGTATGCAGCCGGCTTTACGACAGCTGCAGATAAAAGCAATGAGTGCAGGATGGTAAGTTCCTTTTTTATAAGCAAATAGATGAAGAGTCTAATGCAAAAAACCTGTGACCTGTGTAATGAAGAGATCCATCCAAGCCAGCAAGTTGATGAGGACCAGACTGAGTACAAACAGGTCATTGACCTCTGGCTGGACTGAACGCAGGAAAGTGTCCATGGCAGCTAAGGACAGGAACTCCCCCACACTACAGGGAGGTGATGGGGAGGATAAGGAGGAGTGAAAGAGAGGGGGGAAAGGTGAAGAAAGAAGAAACAGACAATCCAAGACATTAGTGTTATTTTAATAAATAATAATCATCATGTCCACTTGCAACCATCACCTGCTGCCGTAGCGATAGATGCCCTCAGGCATCTTGAGGATGTAGGCAGGGCTATGTGTCACACCGATCTCTGGAAGGCTGCTGTCGTTGTTCCAATGACATACATCCACAAAGATAAACTCAATCCTGCCGGTGAACTTGATGGACAGCGAGGAGAAAAAGGCGGGGGGCTGGGAAAGATGGGCGAACAAAAACATCTTGACTGGATGGGTGGGGTCAAAGCGCCACTCTTCCACCAGCTGCTCAGGCTGATGTAGGGTTTTGATCCGATGAGCCACATGTGAGGTCATCCAACGGAAGATGTGTTCAGTTTCAATATGATGGCCGTTGTATTCTTTTAGCATGACTTTACCCTTCGATGCTGAAGTCTGGGGAACTGACATGATGAGCGTGGAGCGATGCCAGCCACGCTTGATACATGACCTGGTGGACAGAATTCAGAAGGATCATCAGACACTCATTATCCTTTCTCATCTTGTCCTTTGATTCTCATTTAATACAAATTTCAGGGCCAACTTCTTTCACTTATGTACCATCTAAAATTAGAAACAACTGTCTCAGAAAGATGCTGAGAAACTAGTCCATGCATTTGTTACCTCTAGACTAGATTACTGTAATTCTTTATTATCAGGATGGACAAGCGACTGAACAGGCATACCGCTTCCATTTATGTAAATAACTTTGCAGTTTACAAAGGATTCCATTAATCTGGGACATGTCTCAAGCTTTATTAGGCCCAGTCTAACTCACCCCTAGTAAGCACACCATGCACACATTACATGCGTCAGCCCATTCACATGGATGGTACTGTTAAGGAAGACCCTGCTGCTCACCTGTTGTCATTAGAGCAGTTGAAGGTTCCAGTTCTGATCCCAAACTGAGACACTTTCTGCACCATCTTTCCCCAGTTGGACTTACTGAGCAGAGCCTCTCGGTCCTGGGCAATGACCTGCAGGTACAATTGGGGACATAAGAGGATCAGGTAATAAAAGACAAATCTGTCAATGAACATGAAATGACTTCGGACAGAACAAATGGAAGCCCATCACTCTTTTTCTTTGTGTCTTTGTACTTTTTTCATGCTTCAATTCATGAGAAAAGTGGGGAAAGATGAATGCATTCAACCCATCTTGTGTTTGGATCAAATAAGTTCTCTATCTCCCTTTCATAAATACAAATTACCCACAGGTAACCCTTTTTACACAGGTTTTGTGAACAGTAAGTCTGAAGGATTTTTTTTACATTTTTATTTGTATAGCACCAATTCATAACATACATTATCTCAAGGCACTTTACATAGTAACATCTAGACCTTAAAGATTATAGAGGAATCCAACAGTTCCCACAATAAGCAAGTACTTTGGTGACTATGGACCTAAAAAACCTCTGCAGGCATGTTGTGAGGAGGGAAATACATTCAAAACATCTGTTGGATCTCAAGGATCTCAGATCAGATGGAGCAAACTGAGTTTTGAGGAGAAACTCCACATGCAAACAGAAATTGTTTGATTACCAAGATGTTAAATAAAGCAGGGTGCAAAATGTCCTCAAACAATTTCAGAGTCTAAATAAATATTAATGCTGCAAGCAGCACCTCACACCTTTGCAGATGCTGTTCCCTTACCACGGAAACACATGTACATAACCTTTGTGATTTTTGAATTCTGCACAAAAGAGCAGACTGTTCTGTCCAGACATCTGCACGCACACAAACATATATTAAGAATTCCAAAATAAAATTCTACATTATGGACTTCCCTTTGGATTTACCAAAGATTTTTTTAGTTCATCAAAATATTAATTGTAGGCCTTCTGAATGTTTCCACATTTGGTAAGCCTTCAAGCATACTAGGCCCCTCAATAACAGAATTCTGTTTTATGGTGAATAATGTTTGGTGGTTCTTGAGAAAGCAGCATGTCATCAAGGTCTTAGTCTGAGGACTATTCTGACCAGATCTGCTGACTCTGCTGGGAGGGAGAGGGAGGGAGGGAGGGGGAGAGAGAGAGGTGGGGGGGTCGTCCTCTAACATGAAGGTCAGCAATTAAATCCCAGTGTTGCATATAGATGCACTGTATGAATATGTGTGAAGCGCTTTGAGTGGCATTGTAAATAAGACCAAGACTGAAATTTGGCCTGTAGATGTCTTCAGGTCTGGACTATTATCAAACATTTCAGATGGATCTGGGACTGAGTAACAGTTTCTGTGAATGGAATGTATGCAAATTAGCAGCAGTGCTGAACCCACAATGGTTGATCAGAATTGAGCAGCTTCTCACTATTCAATAATCAAGGTCTAAAGAGTGAAGAGACTAAATATGAGGATGATCTGAATAACCTATTTAAATATGTAGAAGTATAAAGCCTTAAAACACCCTCTAGCCAAAGGTGGCACTATGTCTATGATTCAAAATAAAAATTTGCCTGAAGGAATAGTTCACCCAAAAATGAAAATTATCTCATTATCTACTCATCACTATGGCGATGGAGAGGTGGTTAAAGTGTTWGAGTCCACAAAAAACTTTTGGAGTTTCAGGAGTAGGGCTGCACCTATCGATCATTTTTTATCTATTAATCTAATGATATTATTCGATTCATCAAATTTTACATTTTTGATTAATCGATTAATCTAAAAATATATTTTTTGATTATCCTAACATTTATTTTTTATTACTCGGTTAATATAACAATGAATTCATCAAAATTTTAATTTCATCAAGTAAAGGTCTGAAACATCATAATGTCCAACGTGTTATGATTCAGTGCCATATTTTGAAGAAGCCTGGTAGTTAGTTCAATATCTATATTAAGTCAAAAACTGTCAAATTAAATAAAGAAAGTACAATTCAGTTGTATTTCAACAATGTTTATTATAAATTTTCACATGAACTGGAGGGTACTTTAATAATAAAATAAATGTTCTTTTCTTGTTTCAAGTAAATAATGTTTGCATTAAAAAATTTTTAAAATTGCTTTGAAAATGACATCTTAAAATAAAGTGGTTAGTTTAAGAAAAAATACATAAAAATATGTGGTTTGAGTTTCCCCTTTTCTTCTTTTTTCTTAACTGCATTTAACATATGATTAATCTCAACAACTATTAACAACTAAAAACATCTCTTTGTTGCCCACTTCTTCTTTTTCAGCGGGAGAAGTAAACTCTTCCTTGTGCTGCCAGGATTTACTACAAAAATACGGTAGGTCAAGAGCAGGTTAAATAGAAACTCTCAGTCAAAATGTAATAATAGGTCTGGGTCCTGTCCGGACTGCGAACCACCTATTGGTGACATTTGCTTTAGATCGGTGGTTGCCGATCGCGATCGACTGGTTGATTTTGACAGTCTTCACTGTCGATCCCTGTAACTCTCTGGACTCTAGCTGTGGATGCTCTGCAGATCATATGTGTTGGTTGTTCACACGGGAAGTGTGTCTGCTACTGGTTTATCTCCTGCATTTCCTTCTATACAAGTCAGATTATGTACCAAACGAAATACCAGGACTTTACGGTATGAAGACCTGCATCTTCGGGTCTGTCAGTAACAGTCAAAGAGTGACAGCAGTTCTAGCCATTCATGGATATGCTTTAAGAATGGGTGACACAAGTAGAGGAAGATATATGGGGATGCTGTAGGAGAACTCTTTAGACTTGAGGGTGACAATTGCTCATGTAACTCTGTTAGTGTTTGTGTATTGTTGCACCTTCTGGTCTCCTTGATGCATCAAGTCAACATTAAAATCTTCTGCATAAGACATCAGCTGCTGCCTGAGTTCTCCTTTCACCAGCTTCCAGAAAACTTCCATAACAAGCCTATAATAGCTCCTTGTGCCTGATTATTTCATAATGAATGATTTTTAAATGCTGCTGGTTTGCACCTACCCCTCAGGGACAAAACCGATGATTAAAAGTAATCTAAAGAAGGAACTTTCCTGTTCTCTGCTATACCTGTCTTAAACAAATAGCCTCCAAATCCTTATTGGGCTGGCTGACAAATTGAATTTCAAATACGTGATTACAATATTGACCAAAATAATCGTGATAAGTATTTTTGCCATAATCAAGCAGCCTCTACTCAACTTTAACATTGATGTTATGAACCCTTTTTCACAATGTCTCACCCCAGGGATCGTCCATTGCAAGGTTTCACTGCATATATCATCATATGCCAATTAAATTGATATTTCCCAACCTTAGCCATGACCTTCAAATATTGCATTTATGGTCCTTAATTACAGCGCCACCATCTCGCTAATTGGACTTAAATTTCTCGTGAAGCCTGTGCACATCATTTCCGGTTAAGATTCATGATTCTAGCTCAATCTGATGACAATTTGAGTAGAAGCAGCAGATTACAAATAATTATAAAAATATTGCATTTTTCCCCTTCAGAGAAGGAACCTTAATATAGCCACAAGCTACAATTCTGGGTTCAAGCTATTTCTTTCTCGACAGAATTTTGGAGGTTGTCCAAATTTGGAAATTAAAGCCATGATCTTCACGCTTCACACATCTGAATTAAGTCAGTTCAGCAGGTTAAATTCTGTTTTCAATGTGACAAAAACAGCAAATTTTACACTCATTACGGAACCAATGTTAATCCTTCTCTAACAAAACACTGAATACTTAATTTATCAGCAAACTGCATGCAGAGTCACCTAACATTAATTCCACAGATATATTTATAAATTCCACAAACATATTCAATATATACTGTAAGGCCAACTATAAGATTATTTAGAAATGGTGGCGCTCCCTTTCGAGTGATTTAAAAATAGTTTTATACACATGTCTCAACATTGCTATGAAACATATTCTAACATAGTTCAATAATGACCATTGAGGTAGAGTTCAGTGTGAAACATAGTAGCCAATGCTCAACATTTTGATAAAAAGGATGATGGTGGTGTTCAATAGGAAATATTGTAGGGATCAATAAATTAAGACTGAAGCAGCGTTTAATAAAAAAGATAGTGGAGTTCAATAAGAGGATAGAACTCAATAAAGACTGACAGGATTCAGTAAAGACAGTACATAACAATTCCAGTTGGCCTGGCTCACAGCATTAGAATGCTTGCACCTAATGGTGATGTGTTTGTACATAGTTCTCCATAAAACCTAGGAACTTTTAAAAAGTTTTTAATTTAAACAGAACATTATTAGAATCAGATTTCCTGATTTGTACATAGTCATGTCCACTTCATCATGCACCCATACAGATTAGTGTTACCTGAACCAGCCAGATCCCATCTTTAGTGTCTTCCACTAATTCATAGAAGTGCATCTCTCCACTGAAATGTGTGTTGCTGGAGTCTCCTGGCTCCGTTCGCTCCTTCTCTTTCTTGATGGCTGAGTACAGCTCCCCTTGTGTCAACTCTCCTGTGGGGGGAGGGCTTAAGATTTATCAACCCATTTTATAACAAAACTAAAAAGGCAATGCAAACAATGCTTCTTTGACTCCAATTCACTTTTTGTTTGATATCATGGAAAATAACAGGTATGTTGTCAATTTCAAAATTGATTCAGTAGAAGACTTGAACTAAACATGGTTAAAATACAGTATTTATCATTTAAAAGGTTTTTTTTTTACTATTTGTTACTTCTGCAACATCTCATTACAAAAACCTTTTGACTGCGTTCAATAATATTGTAATATTTATTTCACAAAATACAGTCCTAAAGTCAAATGCAGGATTTCTGCCTGTTTCAATGAGTTAAATCTAAGATGATCTAAGATCCTTTAAGGCAAAAATAAGTGACATTTAAGAAAATTGTCAAGTTTGATATATGGAGGAATACTGGTGTCCCAGAATTACTGACACTTTCTCATAATTGAAGATAAAGTGAAGAAGCCAAGTGGAAAAATAACCCTCAATATAACCACATTATCACGCAAACTGAAGACAGTGACAGTAGGTATCCATAGTCTTTCCCACAGCCAAGCTGAGTGTATCGTAATATATTCTGACCAGAATTTTCTTGTTTGTAATCGTATTACATTTATTTATTTATTTACTATATTTGTGTGCTAATATCTGTCATTGAGAAAGGACTACAAAGACACAGAGACATTACAAACAATGCAAAGTGCAAAAACATTCTCTTAAAAGATAAAACATCAGACAACCAGAGCCGGGGTAATGACATAGCCTGGCTGTCTTACGATGGAAAGGATGTCTTTTACAATACCCCAGAGGATACTGACTTGCTGGGCTCAAACCTTAAAATATGACTACTCTGAGTATAACAATGCTCCGATCTCATTGGCTAATTGTGGCATTTGTGACAGTTTATTGATGATATTTAATTTCCTACTTACAAGTTCATTTTCTGCATAATAGACTATTTCCTACCTAATCCTACCTGAGCAGTGATTATTCAGTCAACACAGGAAGACTTGATTACTACCTTGAATTTGCAATGTGAAGGGGCCAGCATTTCCACGCCCTTAATTTTTATTATCATTAAATAAACTAAATGTAATTAGTGATATTAGATTTAGTTTAGTTTACTTGTGTGTAGAGTGTTGCTTTTAAACTATTGTTATATAATGGTACACACTGGTGTAACTATTATTATTAGTACTTTAATAATGTCTCCATCCCTGGAGCATTGAGTTATCATTTGAGTTAAATATGTTAACACTCTGCTGTAGCTGCTGAACCACTGTCACGTCGTGACACCAGCTGCTGTTTGTATAGAAACAGATTCCCCCATCTTTCATTTTTTTTGGAGAGATCCATGTCCCATTCTGCTCTGAACAGTCTGGTGTTGATCCACACAAACACACTGAGGCAGCTGTTTGTGGCGCCATCTTGAAGTGCTCGCTGATCTAGTCTTGCAAGATCTCACTGATCTCGTCTCACGAGAGCATAGGCAAGAGCCTGTGCAGTGTGTAAGTGTGTACGCACGAACATGGATGCGGCTCCCGGCTTGAAGGATAACTGTAGACATTTAGGCAAAAAACTGGATTGGAAATTGGATTTTAGGGGCTTATGGACACTTTTTTTTCTGTTGTTGTTATTACATTTGAATAAGGAGTCCACAGTTACTTCAATTGTATTGGATTTGGCTGCAACGCTGTTTACCCCTGAAACTCCTATAGTCAAAGCTTCACCCGCCCCTCCATCGGCATAGTGGTGAGTAGGTAAAACGCACATTTTTGCTGGTATCTTCCTACAAGGTGCATTCACGGACCCTGTAACACACCAACTCCACTAGCATAGACGCTTTAGGTGAACTTTTAGGCTGAAAACACCTCTTTTCAAGTCAAATATAAATGTCAGGGCTTGCAGACACCTTTAATATTTTTAAGAATGTATCAAGTGAGAGATTTTCTTGTTCAGTTACAGCTTTAGTTCTCTTAGAATTGCTTTCATATGCAGGCAAAATTGGTATTGTACAATGAAATATCCTTAACTTAATCGATGTTGATTTGAATTGGAAATTGAATCGAGACCTTGTGAATTGGAACCAAATTGATTTGGTAAATCAGTGGAGTTACTCAGCCCTAGTTAAGAAATCACCTACATACCGTAAATTACCAAATAATAGCCGGGGCGTTTATTTGTTTCAATCACTTAACTGACCAGGTTTATTTGGGACCAGGTGGCAGTTTGGGACAGGCGTTTAATTTCTTCCTCACAAAATCCTTCTGGGCAATAGTTATACGTCTTCTGCAAGTGAAGTTGTTGCGGCGGAGGAAATGAGCACTCGCGACAAACTCCTCATCTCTGCTGTCACTCATGCTGGCGTACGTTTGTTTCCATTGCCCTGATCGTTTTGCGGTACATTCTCTTGTGGCGTGCCTGTCTGCTGATAACTCATTCCTGCATGTTTATCTCAAGCTCCTCGCTAGCCTTCTTCCTACCTCCACCAGGCAGCCTGGTTCTTTTGCTGTCCTCCTCGGACAGACGCTGAAGCTCAGTTTTATTTTTTCGCCAATCTCTCACTGTCTTGGGGTCGACAGAGAAACATCTGGCTGCTGCTTCTCTCGAGTTTTCCTCTGCATATTTTACGACAGAAAGTTTGAATTTCAAGTCATACTTTTTTTTTTTTGCTGCACCGGAGCCATGGTGATCATCAGAAAGCAAGCACAATACGTGAAAAAGGCGAAGAAGAAAAACGTGCAGTGTCAGTGGTCACGTCTTCTTCTTTGATTTAAAAAAAAAATTTAATTAAACCTGGCATTTATTTGGAACCGGCGGTTATTTATCAAAATATACACCTGCACCCAGCGTTTAAAGGGGACCCTGCGGTTAATTGAAACCCGGCTATTATTTGGTAATTTTACGGTATGTATGTAGGAACTGTGAAGAAAAGTGTTATGTCTCGCACTAGGCACTAGGTGTTAAGTTAAACTTCACTCATGTTTAGTCTCGTCGTGCACTTCCTGTTTTATTTTGGTACTCACCTTTTCCCTCTCACTTCAGACCCTGACTTCCTCCCTTTGTGTGATTTCCCGCCTTCGTGATCGCCTTCCCTGCCCCTGATTGGTTTCACCTGTTTCCTACTTCCTCCTGTATAAATAGTCCTCGTCTCCCTTCGTCCTGTGCCAGTTCGTCTTGTTCTGTCCCCACGTTCAAGTAAGAGATTAAGCCAAGCCAGGAGTAAAACTTCGTTCATGTTTAGTATTTCTTGTTTCTATCTTAGATCTGTTAGCGTTTTGTTTTGATACTTTGTTATCCTCTTCGTGAGCGCTTTTTGTTACGCACCTTTTGTGACTGGGAATAAACCTCTTTTTGTTACATCTACTTCTTGTCTGAGTCGTGCAATTTGAGTCCACCAGTTTTCGTGCCTGAGGTCGATACAAAAAGGAAAAATAGGTGTTTTATTGCGGTGCCAAAAGTAGCAGTAAATTATTGGGTGCACATAAATTATGTGCTGGTGCACCTAAATGAAAAATCTCTTTCTTTTTTTG